AACTCCTTTGGGTAAATTCCAAGGAGTGGGATGGCTGGGTCGAACGGTAGGGTTATATTCAGGTTTCTGAGGAATCTCCAGACTGATTTCCATAGTGGCTTGACCAGTTTGCATTCCCACCAACAGTGGGTTAGTGTCCCTTTTTCCCCACATCCTCGCCAGCATCTGTTGTTGGTAGATTTCTGTATGTGAGCCATTCTAACCGGGGTGAGGTGAAACCTCATTGTGACACTCTGGCAAAAAGATCTCTGTGAGTGAGATCCCAGTGGAAAGAACAGGTCTTCAAAGAGTGAGGTGCCTTTCTCTGAAGGGAGGAGAGAACCTCCACTTTGACTATGACCTTGTCTAAACAAGATAAGAGTCGGAGAACTCAAGGGGCTTCCATAGCCTTGGAAACTCATGACTGGTGCATAGGGAGATTACTGATGCCATAGACAGGAGTGTCAATTTGTAAAGTCAACAACAGGAGTCACTGTGCACTTACTCCTCATGTAGGATCTCTGTCCTTAATGTGCTGTACACTGAGGCTTAATGCTATAACGAGTACTCAAACAGTATATTTCACTTTGTGTTTCTATGGGGGTGCAAACGATTGAAATCTTTACTTAATGTACACTAAACTGATCTTCTGTAAAAAAAAAAAAAAAAAAAAAAAAAAGAAAAGAAATTATCAATTCCCAACTTGACTCTCACTGGGATTAAACATGACAATAGGTCTGATCTGATTTCATCATCATTTAAAAAAAATCATCTATTATTTTTCACTTTATGTTTCTGTGTGGGAACAAACTGTTGAAATCCTTACTTAAGGTATACTAAGCTGATCTTCTGTATATTAAGATAATCGAAAATGAATCTTGATGTGAATGGAAGGGGAGAGGGAGTGGGAAAGGGGAGGGTTGTGGGTGGGAGGGACGGTATGGGGGGGAAAGCCATTGTAACCCATGAGTCGTACTTTGGAAATTTATATTCATTAAATAAAAGATAAAAAAAAAAAAGACTTAAGGGATTGGGTATAATTTTAGTTTAAGCCTCTGCCTGCAGCACCAGCATCCCATATGGACATTGGTTCATGTCCAGCTGCTCCATTTCCAATCCAACTCCCTGCTAATGGCCTAAGAAAACAGCAGAGGATGGCCGAAGTGCTTGGGCCCCTGAATCCATATAGGAGACCAGGAAGAAGCTCCTGGCTCCTGGCTTTGGTTCAGCCCAGCTCTGACTGTTGTGGCCATTTGGGGAGTGAATCAGCAGATGGAAGATATCTCTCTCTGCCTCTCCCTCTCTCTGTAACTCTGCCTCTCAAATAAATAATAAATATTTACTAAAAATTTTTAAAAAGAGTTAAGGGATTATTTCTGCTTAAGGACTAAATGTTTGTGTTCCCCTAAAGTTCTTATGCTGCAGCCCTAACCCCCAGTGCAATGGTGTAAGGAGGTAGAGTCTAAAAAAAAAAAAAAAAAAAAAAAAAAGAGATTTGGATAAATACCAATGTCAAGACTCTAAACCTCTATTATATATACATACATCATAATGTTTCAATTCCATGTGTACTAGCCAAAGGCTGTCCAGCTATAAGAAAATTCGCAGCCAAAGGAAACATTTTCTGCAATTGATATTTGATATATTTCTTCAATTCTCTTTAAGTTGTAAAAGTTAGGACTAATGGGGACACAGGACATTTTTTGATTTAGAAAAGTTGGGGGAGAGTTCATGTTAACTTAGGTTTAGCTTTCTGACCTCCAATAAATATTTGCAATTACACAGTGCTACCTTTTAAATGCTACCCAAAGCATTAATTAAAAACTGGGAAAGAAAATGATGCTAAATTAAATATAGATTTATGGTAAGTGCATCGGAATTCAAATTTTAAAAGAATCATTATGGACACACAATCTAAAGTTCAATGTAATAAAAACATTTCTAATACAATCAGGAAAGCAAAACTGGAAATGAGTTATGAACACTGATTGAATTTAGCCTCTCTGAATATAATTTATAGTACATCACATGTATCAGGTGTAATTTAAATTGTTGCTATACTTAATGAAACAGGAAATGAAAGCTGTTACCTTCTTATTTCAATTAAGCACTAGTTTTTTTTTTTCTTACTTGAATTCTTCAAAAAGTTTGTGGAAAAATGAAATTAAAGTATAAGTTACTTTGGTAGAAAAGTTTTTAAAATCCATGTGTAAATTTAATGTACTACATATTCTCCATGAACTTTTTAAGTCCTATGGTATAGCAAAGAACATAAAGCCAACAAAGATATGGAAAATACAAATAACAAACCTTGGTTTCTGAGAACAGAGGATCAACAGCAAAATCTTAAATCAGAAACTTTGGATTAAGAGATTCCAGCAATAATGCAAAATGGTTCAACAAGTAAGAAGTTACCAAACAGAAAGCCAAATCCTTCATAGTACCATTGATTCTGGTGAGAAAATGAAATTTAGCAGGTTGCATTCCTCCACTGACCTAAGTGTGCTTCTGAGCTCACAACAACAGATACTCATCAGTCTATGCTGTAAGGAAATGCTTCTTTTTAAAAAGTGTTTTTCTTTAAACCACCCCCATAAATGCACCATCTTTGGGAAAAGTAATTTTGCAGGATCATATTTGTAGTATTGAAAGAAATCACACACTTGCACAACTGAGCTTCATGATGGCCCTGAAAGCACAGGAATTTTGATCGTGAAATTTTAATTGATATCTTTCTATTATCATTATTTTTAAGATTGAGTTCCTAGGAGCTGAGCTGAACTGAGCTGACCAGGGTCACACTTAGATTTTTTGTAGGTCTGCCTGAAAGATTCCTTGGAAAAATGTTTAACTCCTTTCCCATTGCAGCTTAAGACAACTCCAAGAAATGCACTGTTAAAGAATTCATCACCCCCTATGTCAGATCTAATCTTAGCAAAATCAAGGTCCTGTCAAACTGATTGACATTATATCCCTAGGTACATTAGAATGATTTATAATGTACCTGTAAAAAGACAGGAGAGAAAGACAGAGAGTGAGAGTAAGGGAGAGAGAGATTCTTTAATAAGACAAATGAGACCTGGACTTAAGTAATACAGATGCTAAGATAATAAATGTTATGAGAGTGGCAGAGGTTTGGCATAGTGGTTAAGATGCCTCTCCAGACATCCCATACTGGAGTGCTTGCTTAAGTCTGGTCTCTGCCCCACCCCGCTCCGCATTCCAACTTCCAGCTAATGAACATCCTAGGAGGCAGAAGTAATTTGGTCCCTTCCATGCATCAGGGATACCCAGACTAAATTTGCAGCACCTAGCTTCAGCCAGGCACAACCATGGCTACTGTAGTGAGTTAGAATATCCCTCCCTTCCTCCCTCCTTCTCTTTCCCTCTGTCTCCCTACCTCTCAAAAAATTTTAAATAAATAAAAATATTAAAGTTGAGAAATACAAGAAGTATCTGGCTCAATCCTATTGAATATGTTTACTTGTTTTAACTGTTAAATCAACTCTCTATAAACTATCATTTCATATCTTTATCAAAAGAATATTTTATACTGAATATTGTCATGACATCTTTTCATCATCTACAGCCATGGTAGACAGGTTTATAAATGCACTAGAGTTGTTTCCCAAAGTCATAGGTTAAAAACAAGGAGTGGATTATCTGCACCTGCCTTCTGTAATAATTAACAAGATGTCTCAATTTGCCTCAATTCGAAATGATTGATTATAGTTCCCTAAACACAGAGTGGCATCAGGGATCTACGACACTGGACTTTATTCTGTATATCAAGGGCAACTCCCAAGTGTATCTTGTTATATTCATAGCATCACTACTAAATAAAGGATTATTATCCTCCAATAAAGTTATACACACATTGCCTGTCTCAGTGAAAGAATGTGAAGATGCTGACACATTATTGGAGAAAACATGAAGTCCCAATCACTTCCATAGACAATGTCACAGCATCAGGAACACTGAGAACACAGGGTAGATGTGTCTTTTACAACGAAGAGAACGGATTTAAAAGAAATCAGTGTTGCAAAAATAATTGAAGGAAGCAATGAAGCAGAACATTGTAGCTATTACATAGAAAACATTGGCAAGCCTCCTCTCAACAGGCCCTATTGAGTCTTGACTTAAGAATGTGAAGAAATGAATAGCAGTTTTGTTGCACTAGGACTGCAATTCATGTAATCAGTAGGACACAGGTAGGCTGGCTAAAAGTTGCAAGTCAGGTTTACCTGAACCATAGTAAGGTACACTCATTTCTTAGAGCATTAGCAACCAAACAACATTAAAAATTTGTGAGTTTTATTGTTGTCATTATTAATAATAATGTTTCTAAAAATCAGATTGCATTTCACTGTTGGGATGGGGGACTCTCTGATGGGAGTATTCAATTCTGAAATCCTAGTAATCATGGTTTCTTTTTGTTCTTCCTAATTGAAAATGCTTAGTTTAACAAATAAAATATAGAGATGAAGTTGACTGCTCATAATCAGAAAGTCAAAATGGGGTTTAACCTTATGCTGAAAGCACTTCAAATGCAGTGAAAATGTGCTACATCATTGCAATAGTGAACTCTAAAATAAAGGAGTCCATGTCAGTTAAAACAAGCCTGTCTTCGTAAACGTGATATATTTCAAATCATCTTAAATGACACTTAATTTTTAAAATAAAATTCCCACATGGAAACTGAAGACAAGCTACAATGTGACAAAGCCTGATTAGAATCACTCTAACAATGAAAAATTGAGCTAAATCTTTCAGAATCAATCTCACAGGCAAAGCACAAATGCAAAACAGCTTGGTTAACTCAGGTTTTTCAAAGATATTACTATAAAAATAACATACTGTCAAGAACACTCATGCTTTTGCTAAAAATAGACAAAGCTATAAATGTCTAAGAGGAGCTGAAAAAAATCCTTCTTTAAAGAAAATACTTTTCATACCAATCCACAATTCTCAGAGACAAGCACACCTACGATAACGAGGAGCAGAAAGTGTTTTTTACTTACCATCAAATTTCTTATGCCTGGACACAAATGTTGTGCGCACGAAATGACTAGTCTCTTCCACGAGGTTTTCAAACTCCAGTTTGCTTTGTTGACTTAACTTGTCTTCCATTTCTGTAGTGCAGCACGTGTATTCCTGAGGGCAGATTCTTAAGTGCTCCCCTGCAATGAGAAACTCAACATGAGCATGGAATAAGGACTTTGGCTAGTTTTCAGAGATGTTGCTTCTCTAACATTTTGCTGTAATCTGGGGTATTTGTTCCATCTACTGCACCAGCTATAAGAGGCGGGGATCACAATACATCAGTGTACTTGACAGACCTTGGTTGAACCTGATGCTTAGTCTCCAGTGCCTACTATGTGAGTAAAATTGCATTAAAATCTACAAAACACCATGGCTTTTGCCTGCTTTTAAAGTGTACCAAATACACCAGATGACAAGAGATGTCACACAGTTGCACATGAACTTGTCTTTGGGAGCCTCACAAAGACATTGAGTCCTATCACCACAGTCGGCTGGACGGGAAGAGCAAGGGAGAAGGGTAACATTCCCTGGAGTTCTCGTTCCGCCAGTCCAACTGTGCGATGCATTAGCTTTGCTGCAGGTTAATGTGAATGTTTTTGATGGCAGGTCTCGTGTGCCACACATTCTTCAGTTGGCATTTCTTGTCAGACAGAAAATATTCCTTTCAAAGGAGGAAGGCACTGTTGGCTTCAACTAATGTTTATGTTCTGTGGAAGTGGAAATAGAAGGGAATGAAAGTCTTGTACTTAATGCAGCATATTTATCTCTTGATGTACCAGGCTACTTCTTTTGACATCATTGCTTTCCTAAGTGCTATTAGCAGGTAGAAGCCAATCCTTTGCTTTATGAAATTAAAGTGGTCTGTTATTGCATAAAATGTGAATTTCCAATTGATGCAACTCAGTGTCAAAAATGATTTTCAGAGCCCACAGACTCAAAAACTCAGTGTCAAAAATGTTTTTCAGAGTCCACAGAGGGAAAAAGGAAAATCTACCCAACATCTTCCTAAAAACAAAAAAATCACCCAGATGAATAAAGTCACTTCAGGGCATTGAAGGCCAAATGAGCAGAGTACTTGATGCTATGAATACAAACCTCACTTACAATGTTTAACAGCACTTATAAAAGTATATCTTCTGACCCTGGGTGTCTAAGGTACTTCATATAATTTGATATTTAAATTCCTACTTAAATAATACCAGAACAAAGAAAAATGATTACAGTACCTATTAAAATCAGGTTTTCCATAATTCCCAGGGCAAAGAAAGACTACAGAAGCCCTACTTTTTAAAGGAAAGGAAATGCATCATTCCTTACAATGATAAACATGAAACTCAGGTTAATGTTTCCCCCAAAGGGAGAGGAAGAATTAGGGATTTGAGATAAAAGCTCAGAGACCCTTATCTGTAATCTTTTACCCTATTTCTTAAGATGTTTGATGGATATACAGTATTTATTGCATTATCTTTATTTTTTCTGTGTGATTAAAATATCTTATAGCAAAATATTTGCAATAGAAACGTAAACATCAGTCATCACCACAGTTTTGCTAGAGAGGAAAGAGATAGGTAGACATAAGGAGGGAAACAAGTTGTCCTTGACTATTATTACACACACACAGTCTCCCTGAAACCACCCTCAGACAACATGGCTCTGACACCATGATAGAATGAGGCTAAGAACAAGGCCACATCATAATTTTGTCAGAAGACGAGGACTCTGCGCCATTCACACAGCACCAAATACCGCCCATCTCAACCAAAACAGACTGATACTTCCTCACCATTTACAGATGTGTTCCCTCACCAGTGCCTCATCTTGTCTAAGATTTATTGAGATACCTTGATATAGAATCACCTGTTTTCTGACAGTACCCATCCTAGGTTCAACCCTGGGTCCAGTGGTCTGTTCCCCAGAACAGCCACCTGAATCCCCAGTCCCAGGGGATTCTTTCCAGGGCCCCTTTCCTGTGACATTCCATGGTTCCCTGTGGCATATTATTGCTCCCACAATCAGTGATAATCAAACATGTTTACATACAGACATGTTCTTGATCACCTTTGACTTGTATCCAAAACGGGAGATAGAAAACAATGTAAATCGTGAATTTTTCCCACAATGATTCTGACACCCAGAGCCCCACTGCAAAGCATGGTTCCAGAGATAGACACTGCAAAGGAATTAGGATAGCTTCATCAAAAGTAAATGGGCGTCAAGTCGCTAAGTTATTTTTATATAAAATATTAAGCTCTATACTAAGAGTTCAACAAATAGTATGAAAAAAAAAACTGTCCCTCAACAGTGGTGACAAGGGCTATTCAGAGTTAACCTTATATGTATAAAGTTAATTGAAAATAGATCTTAGTAAAAAAAAAAATAAGAATGGGAATAGGAGAGGGAGAGGAATAGAGGGAGGGATTGTGGGTGGGAAGAATCACCATGTTCCTAAATTTGTATTTATGAAATGCATTAAGTTTGTATGCCTTAAACAAAAGGTTTCAGGGGAAAAAAATCAAGCTCAATGGAAAAGGAAACAACAAAAACCCACAAGCAATTTCTGCATTTTAATAGCCTCTGTGTGTGTGTGTGTGTGCATGCATGCACCCGTGTGCATGTGTGAAGTTTATTACTTTTTTCCAAAAGCGATATTAAAAAGGTTCTGGTCATGTTTTTATTTTCTTAATAAATGTAGGTATTTTGAAAACACAACAATAAGTAGATTTGCATTTCATGTGTAAGGAAGAAAGCAAGCACAGTGTGGAAAGTGGAGCTGTTTCCTAAAGGAAATACAGTAAATTTGGGTTTCGCAAATATCATCCAGATAGATGATTTTAACAGTTCCTTTAACTCTGCTTTGGTCAGGATTTTCTGTGGTTTTCAGTTAATGCCTTCATCTCAGGATTGTAGAGGAGACTCTACTCTCTTATTTTCCTGACTACTTGAACAACAGTTTTCCTCTAAAAACCACAAAAACTCATTCTACCTCAGTTTTATTCATAGCCTAGAGTATGAGACACCATATGGATCAATGCCATTGATTTAAATTATCTATCCTTCTAGTTTCTCTCTCCATGTCTGCCTATCTTTCTCTCTCTCTCTTGATCTCTCTAGTTTTCTTCTGGCCAGGGATCCATGAAAATGAAGAAAAATTAATTGATTTCTTGAGAACATTTCCAGTTCTATGGACAGTGTAATATTCCATTGCATTAATAAGGTGGGCTCTTACATACACTGTGATGACCTTGTACATGCACAAACACCACACTACCATAATGAAATAACTTCAGTTTAACATTACCCACACAATCATTTTTACTACTTGATGTAAAATATTGATTTTCTTGGAGTGAACAAAAATTATAATGACCCCCATTGGATCTAATTCCACAAATGTATATCAATGGGGTTTCATCCACAAATATCCCAAATACAAATAGAGAGAAAATGTTTATTTTTTGTTAAGTTTTTCACCAAAAGCCTTGTACACTTTTATTATAAGCTCAGATTTGATGATTCCAAAGAAAAATGTCACCCTGATGTGTTAACCCTTGAGAAATGAACATTTCCCTTGTGAAAACAGAGGAGGATGGAATAAGAAACAGAGTGGTAGGATTGTAAACTGGCTTATATCAAATCAGAGAAAAGAACATCCTGAAAAGATGTTAACATTAAATATCCGCTCAAAGCGAGTACGGAAATGCCCTTTGCACCCCTAATGATGACATAAATATATGTTGAGCTATTACTTTCCAAATACCTAAGTCTAAAAGGGAGATAAGAAGAACCTGGATTTGCATATGTGCTTTACCCTTCCCAGAAGTTCTATCCATTCACTACTTATCAGTAAAACTTGAGTATCTCAGGGGCCGGCACTGTGGCCCAGCGGGTGAAAGCCCTGGCCTGAGGCACCGGCATCCCATATGGGTGCCAGTTCTAGTCCTGGCTGCTACTCTTCTGATCCAGCTCTCTGCTATGGCTTGCTGGGAAAGCAGTGGAAGATGGCCCAAGTCCTTGAGCCCCTGCACCCACGTGGGAGACCCGGAGGAAGCTCCTGGCTTCGGATCTACACAGCTCCAGCCATGACAGCTGACTGGGGAGTGAACCATTGGATGGAAGACTTGACTTCTCTCTGTGTAACTCTCTGACTTTCAAATAAATAAAATCTTTAAAAAACAACAACAACAACAAAAAAAAAACTTGAGTATCTCGACACCAAGATTACTTGTCAACTTTAGGATGAACCTGAATCATGACTACTTTAACTTTTGAAAATCTAGATTCAGATAGGGCAGTGGTTCTTGGCATTTCTCCATACACTGGGCATTCCTTGAGTTAAGGAGCCTTCAGTTCCAAAGAACACAAGTCACACTTTTATGTTGCTACATCATTTCTTCCTTTTTTGTATACAGTGTGATTCACTTTGAAAATAATTTCACAGCTTACTTTTTATTACATATTTTGGGTTTTTATAAAATAACCTCATAGTCATACTTCCTGATATTTTAATCTTTTGACTGTACTATATCATAAACAGTTACAATAATACAGTTATTCAAATTGGATAAATTCTGATTTGATCTTACTATACTGCTTTAATATTTCAATTTCTCACCTGGAAAAGATAGAAATAATAATCACACTTAAAGGGATGATGCGAGTAAAAAGTTCACTAAATTAGGTACTTTCATTTCATAAATGAAAATATGAAATATAGCTAGTTAAATTAAAAATGTTATTATAATGATATCAAAGGCTATTCCTTACTATTAAAATGCGACAATGGGAAAAAGCTCTATATTTGTAAACCTATAAAGTGGTTTGATAAGAAAAATATCCCTTCTAGTGTCTCATTATTACTAGAATTGATAAATATTCAATGTGAAGAATTCATACGTTCATATTCAATTATTTTCACAATCTAAATAAATACAAACTTATTACAGATATACAAGTGAGTTTTTGCCACTTTCAAAATGTTGCTAGAAATAAATGTTAAATGAATAATCACTATCCATCATTTTGGAGTTATATAACCTCTTCATGTTATGTCAAAGACGCAGACAGGTGCAACAGGATCAAATAGTTAACAGTGGCATCTATGTCTTAATGTCTCTCAGTTATCACAACAGTAAATTTG